AACAACCGGTTCTCTGAACTGCTTAGAATGTTAACAACCGGTTCTAGTGAATAGGTGCGAACCTGCAAAATCCCACCCCGGGCGCCTCCCCCCAATTTGCATGTGACTTGCACCAGGCCTCCCAAGGAATCTACCCTCAGGCACCCCCTGTATAACGGTACTCCGTGGTAGCGCTAAGGCCTGAAGCAGAGGTCATCCCTAGTAGTATAAGTACTTGGACATTCACAAATTCTCCTTGGGGAATACTGCTTACCTTCAAGTGCAGCTCCAGGTTGTACAAGCCCTTTGTTATGAAAGCAGCTTTGGAGCCTGATTTTGTGCAGTTTCTGCAGACTCTGGAAACTAAGGAGTATGCCAAGTTTTGTAAGAATTGGCGGAAAGTTAATGCTCCAGAGTTTGCAGCCAGTATACTATTATATTGCAGTCAAATGATTCTGCGACTACTTTTAAGCAAAATCTGTACTAAATAGTGGAGCTAGGAGAAGTATACACACCCTATTAGTGGTGACTTTCAGTATTGGGAATGAGCATCCCAAGAAAGCTCCAACTTTTTTTTCTAGTTGGGCTTTTCATAATTCACATGTTTCTAGGATATTTTAAATGCTGTCTGCTTCTACTTTGTTCCTATTTTTGTTTTTAAATACCTTTGACTGTCTTTGAATTTTAAATAATACATTTTAGAAACAATTGTGATTAAATGGCTTTTAAAATATACAACAGTATTTGTTGTATCTATAATTCATATTATGTTTATGTTCAACATGATTTTGAGGATATTTTTGTTTGAAAAAGTCAGTCTCGTGTTGACATCTGTACATAATTTCTCTTTCAGTCTCGTGTTGACATCTGTACATAATTTCTCTTTCAGCAATCAAATCACATGAATACCTCTTTGTTAACCTTATATCGGAAAGGAAATCCAGATTCTTTACCATCATCTCCTAAAAATGATTTAATGATGTCTACCACTACTTCACAAACAGTGCCTAGATCAGATACTGTTTCTCCTCAAGCTCCATCAGTGACCAAAATTTCAGAAGGTGGATGGTTTATTGATAAGACACCAGGCCCAAAGGAGGAAAACTTTTTTATTGATCTTTGTGCAGAAGAAGAATGTGATAACATTAAGCAGAAAGCTAAGGTATTTTTCTTAATTTCTCTGTGCCCTTTCTCATTATGCCATCCCAAAAAACCTCAAGATCAACAATAACTATAAAAAATATTTTGGTACCATAGAAATAAAGAGGAGAATGTGAAAAAAATATTGATATACATATCGACTAATATATTTAAAACATGGTATTGAAACATTAAAATTAAAATATAGGGAGGAATACAAAGCTTAATAATATTTGATGAAATTGCTTGAAAATCCTTTGTTTCCCCTGTGTCAAAAAAGGTCAATATGTATGTTAAAACACACACATCAAGAATCTAGAGTTTGAAATAAAATGAAAATATATCTTTCAAATATTCTGTAACAATTCTTTTTTTCACCAGCATCATCTTAGGAAAAGTATCATATTGATGCCTTAATAAATTTGGGGTATTGGTGATAATAGCCAGAAAAATATTTTTAACATGAAACAAATGCTGTACAACTATATTAGTAATTTTGGGTTTCAACTCAAAATGTGAGAAATAGGATAAATTCAATCCATTTCATTTCTAGCTCATGGATTGTATCCCTAATAAGTAATCCTTCTTATGTATTTTCTGATCTCTTAGCAAGGTTCATAAAACTTTCTCTGTGTTAATTTCATAAGATCAAAGGAGACTGCTTCATTTTGTTATGTTCCACTGATTTACAAAAACACAATGTTCAGATCTTCTGCTCTAAATATACTAAAGTTACTACATTATTTCACTTTCTCGTAAAAATGGAATGTTGGCTTTGGTGATGCAATTAACTCCTCCAATAAATGTAAAACTACTGAAGCAACAGTAGCACCAGGATCTAATAACGCACTTAACAAAAGCTTAAGTTAAAGAAAATGGCTTAGGAAGGTCTCTGAAAGAAATGAAATTCGATTTTTAAGTTTTACAAGATTTTTAAGGTTGGCTTCATTTTAAGAAACTGACTTAATCCAAAAAAATAAAAGTCTGAGAGGCCATTTTATTTAAAAATGGATTATCAGATAGTTTTAACTATGATCATAAAATGTGAGCTATTTGCGCAGAGGTTTAAAGATATCTATATTTTTAAAAGTCAAGTGAATAAAAAGAGGGGGATGCATGCCATAAAAAGTGTTGAAGTGCTAGGGCAGCAGCAGAAGTTCCTTGTATCTTAGTTTAAAAGCCCATTTATATTGCTTAGTTTTTGCATTGTATCTTGCTGGATAAAGTATATCAAGAAGCTTTTCTTTGTGATGTAGAATGCTGGAAACAATTCTATTTTGGAGACCACAAGAAAGAAGTCCAAGGACAAAAAATATAAACGGAGAAAAGTTGAATTTTCTAATGTAGATGAAGAAATAGAGTCAGTTTTGAAGCAGCAGAAAGGTAAGGAGTGACCTCAGGGGTGGGATTCAAATTTTTAACAATCGGTTCTGTGGGCGTGGCTTAGGTGGTGGGCGTGGCTTGGTCATGTGACTGGGTAGGTGTGGCCAACTCAATATCACTCACATCGAGGCACACATCTCGCCTGGCCTCATGACTGTGGGGATGCTAAAACAGTCGTAAGTGTGAAAAATGTTCATAAGTCACTTTTTTCAGTGCCATTGTAACTTTGAATGGTCATTCCACACAAGCAAAGTACCAGCAAAGGAGGGGGAAAAACTCCAGAGAAGTTCCTGAGACAGGAATTCTAGTCCTGCCAAGAATGTAATAAG